TCCGATCCTAGGTATGAACGTGACCCTTTCCCACACGACAATGTAGAACAAGGAATGTCTGTAGATAGACCACTTATTGATAAAGTACCAATAGAGGCTAGAGGTTCGTTGCTTGACCTATCAATAATGGATAGAGATACACGGTTATCAATGGATCATGGGATAAACGTTCCATTTGGGTTTATGGACCGAAGTCGGATTGAGCGTAGTGATAGAACTGATAGAGGGGATAGGCTAATGGATAGAAAGCATAGTTTTATTTCACCACCATTTAAATAATAGAATATATGATTGAACAAAGTTTTTTATTTGTTATGTTTTATAAAAAAGTAAAAAGAAAACTAAAAAAAAAGAGTGAAAAAGAGGAGAGGATGTCAAGAGAAAGATTTATAAGGCAGTTTGAAGAAAAAAGTAAACTTGGAGTAATGAAGAAAAGAATTATTGGAACAGCAGAGATTAAACAAATAATTGCTATGGAATTTTTAGATAATTATAATCAAATTAATAAATTTAATGTAGATGAAATGGTACGATGTTTTAAAAATAAGTCGAGTCATATCACCAAAAGGATATTTGTTGAAATGATGCAGTATTTAGATATATACGTTCATAGATGGGGAAAATTGAGTGAAGAAGTTGTTACATTTATGATGTTTAAAGGATTGGATGAACATTGTATTGGTGAAATAACCAAAAATGGTATTCCAACAAACCTAACAACATTTTTGATTCAAACCTTTGATACAGTAGAATATACGTCAATGCAACAAAAAGTGAATGAAATTATTTATAAATTAAAGCCTCAATATTATGGAAAAATTTACAATCAACATGACTCATTAAAACTTGGACTAACACCTTCTCATATTAAGAAAATACTTATTGATATATTCCAAATTGATAAAGTTATTGTTCCATCATTAGTAATGTTGTTAAATGTATTAGTTAAAGACAATATTATTTCGTCGTCTGATTTTATCAAAATTTGTACTTCTATTGAATGGGTTGTTGAAAGAACTCAACACTTTACAATATTAGAATTGTTTACTACTATTTTCAATGTTTTAGATAAAGATTATAAAGGAACTGTTCCTATTGATAGAATTAAAATCTTTTTAACTAAAACTCTTAATGGAAAGGCAAATTTAATATCATCATCGCCTGATATACAATTGGTTGAATTCCTTCATTATGCTGAAATAATTTCAGACAACATTTTAGATTTTAAAAACTTTTGTGAACATATTGTTGTTCCTATGGTTGATTTGCATTCTCTTCCACCATTACAAATTGCCCAAACAAAAAAAGTTACTCCATTGCTTCCTTCATCATATCAAAATAAAGAAAAGTATTTAAAAGAACTCTTTACTAAATTAGAAATTGAGACAAGTCTTTGCGACAGAATCTTGCGTTTAATTAATGCTGAAGAAAAAACTCCAGAACTTATTAATATGATTGCACAAACATTTGATGAAAATATTAGAAAATATGGTCATAGTGAAGGACTTGTTAGGGCAGTTTTTTTTACTTTTCAACATCATGGCATTGATGCAGATATTCTTGTAGAAACTTCAAAAATTTTTAATAGCCCTATGGATTTAAGTACTGCCCAAACTGTTATCAAAGCATATGTTGAAGATGGAACTAATAAACTTTCGTTATATAACTTTGTTCGTTATTGGTTAGATGGTGACTCTCCATGTTTAGATGACACTGACAATGAAAAAGAATCAAAGTTATTGAAACGTACTATTTCTATGTTCCGTGTGTTAAATGTTAATGGACTTGTCTCTAAACAGTCGATTATTCATTTCATCCAACAACAATATGGAACTCTAAGTTACGAAGAATTAATGAGTATTGATATTATTATTAATTATCTTTCTTCATTCAAAGGAGAACTTACATTTGACCAATTCCAATTATTTATGATTGTTTATGAACGTTCATTAAATCCAGATACATTATCTTTAGAATTAACAATTGAATCTATCTGTAATGCAATATGGAATTCTAACCAATTTGCAGTTATTCCTTCTTTATTCAATATTACAACGAATAATGTAAAACAATTTGAAACTTACTGTAAAAACCAAAACATAACTCCTACTCCAAAGTCTTTTACTATGTTTATCCTTCCAATATTACAAAAAGGATATAAATAATTGACAATTTCATAACTATCTTTTTTGAAGTTTTTTATTAAAGGTTTGTTTTTTTTATCAAACGTTTCAAATTTAATGGGATTTATTCTAAAATGGGTTGGAATCAAAGTTAAGTAAAAACTTTATTGTTAGAATGTAATGTTATTTTGATATTAAATTTATTGTATATTTTCATATATTCACATCAATTTATTCTTCTCATTTTATATAAGAAGAATATTCATTGAATAAATTTAATAAAGTATGGATATTGTGTATTTTATTCGTTTATTTGATTTTGTCTATTCCGAATAAACTTAACATATTGAATTTAATGCCATCTATTTCATCTCTTAATATAATGCAAACTTCACTATCATTTAATGAACGAATATTTATATTTAACACTCATTCTACTATTTCGTTTTATGACATTTCTTAGTCGGAGGAATAAAATTTTGAAAGTTCATAAATTGATCAAATATTTATTTTTTAGTTATAAAAAAATAAAATATATAGCACTTATTTTTGATTTAGTTCATAAACATCATAAAAATTAGAAAAATAAATATTAATTAGAATTGTAATTTATTCATTGATAAATGGATAGTAATCACATCATACATTATTAAAAAGAGTAATTTCTTTATTATTTAGATTTTCCTCTTGTTTTGTCAATAAACCATTTTCTTTTATTTCTTTTATATTATTGTCTTTTTATTCTTCTTTCTGTTTATTTCTTCTTTTTAATTTCTTCTTTGGTTGTTATTTGAATTCTAAATAATATACATTTCTTTATTTCTTATTTTACGAATGAATATATCATTATATTATTCTATATAATTTCATTTATTATTAATATCATCATTTATATCCTTTTCATTTCTTATTATTATTTCATATTATCTTATTTCATTCTTTCTAATATTAATTAATACATTTCTTATTCAATTACATTGCCATAACCATATAAATATTGATAATTCATTATTTGAATTTGTATCAATGTTTGGGTGTGTTTCTGACATACCAACTTCAAACCCAACAGCCAATAAAGAAATTAAGTAAAAATGACAAACGCATTTAAAAATACATAAAAATAATAACTAAGACTATTTTAATTTGTATTAGAAACAATTACTTAAAGTTAATCTTATTTGTTTATTGTCCTTCATAAAAAAATCAAATTTCTCAGTTACAATTATAATTACAGTTATGTTACTTTAGATTATTTCATTAAATCTAATTTGGAATAAATATGACTTAATTTATTACTTATTTTTAATTATTTTATTCAATATCAATATTTAAATCAATGACTTTAAAGAAAT